ATTTTGAGATATAGATCATTCTTTTGTATGTTAGATTCTATTTTGAGTTTTTGATCTAAGTTTAAGTGGACTGTTAGTAATGAATTTAGCAAGTTCCGAGCCTTGTGCATTTGTGGGATCCTCTCACAAGTATACGGCGTCTGTTTCGCCCTCGAATTTAGGTTCTAAGGCATGACAGATGGCTTTACATTTTGCAATCGGCTCTTGAGGAAAACAAAATGTACAGGAAACCTGCAAAGCCGGCTTTACATCTTGCAGCCAGCTCTTCAAGAAAAATAGAATGTGTAGGAAACCTACAAAGTCGGCTGTAGAACTCTAAGCTGGCTGTACAAAGCCAACTCTATACTTTAAGCCGGTTGTGCTGACAATTCTACAATTTGAAATTGCACGTCTTGCAGAGCATTAAATAACCCCCAATGGCTAGAAACGGCTATTTTCGAGCAAGGGGTTATAAATATGGTTGGTAGTAGATCTAAAATAAGCTTAGAGAGTATTGTATTGAATATCTCTACCTATCAACTTGTGCTTTAACTTGAGTATTTAATCTTTAAGTGATTTTTGCTTGTAATCCTCTTTTTGTTCAATTTTGTGAGTGATCTTGAGGATGTGATTATTCATTCAAGAGTGATTTGTAAAGAAGATTGTTTGGGTTTATCTTGTAAAGGGGTGAGATTTGAGAGAAATACTTATCTTCTTGTAAAAGGATTGAGTGGCTCCTTTAAGCCACCCTTGTTCTTGATAGTGGAGAGTGTGGAGAAAATCCTTAGTGAGTGAAGCCAAGGTAGAGGACTAGGTTTCAAGTGGTTGGATCAAACCTCTATAAAATCATTAAGCAAGCTCTTCTTCCTTACTCTCTTTAATTCTTTGTTTTGTCGTTGCGAAGAGGAGGAAAATTTTGAACTCCAATTCACCTTCCTCTTGGAGTGCATTGAACCAACAGGATTATAGTGTCACTTTTTCAAAACTTAAAGAACTATTCTTTTCCGTTAAATCTAATAGAAATTTTGTACCATAGACTATTTTGAAATATTTTCCAAAGTTTATAGATCACTTAGAAAGAAAAAAACCTTTTTAGATTAAAAAAAAATTAAACTGATAGTTAATAGATTAATAATTCAATTAACCCGTTTTGTAATATGTGTGGAACTCTTCATGGATTTTACTTTAATTTTAGCATTTTTCTTTTTTTTTTTTCATTTTATAATGTCAATTGTTTTACAGCTCAGTCTATACTAAACTGCAAAATACTAACTATTTAATAATCTTTTCTCCAATAATAAGGAACCCTTTCTTACTGTAATGCCAGTGTTTTGTAGTTCTAATATAGTTTAAACTACAAAACACTTTTTCTTTTTCTTTTTCTTTTTTTTTTTTTAAAAAATTGTAAAAGGAAACAACATATATGCAAGACATGTTGGTACCTAGACAATTCCCTTTATATATAAATATATATATATATATGTATATGTATATATATATATATATGAGGATAA